TTAACTCGTTCATTAGCTGGTAAAAACTCTGGACTACCCACTGATTCCATTGTTATTGCTATACTCCCTGTCACTTTGGATACTCCAATGAATCGCAAATGGATGCCGAAAGCAGACTTCAGCACATGGACTCCTCTGACAGAAGTAGCTGGGTAAGAATGTTTATATAACAAAACTAGAACATTTAATGATGGGAGGTTTTTATTATATAATAGCCTCTTTTACAAATGGACTGAAGGTAAAGACCGTCCAAATTCTGGTGGTTTACTGCAGTTAATAACCAAGGATGGTGTCACCCAATTGGTTGAAGCTAATTAAATGTAAATGTTTGTGCTGGAAAAACTTATATGTACTTCAACGACTCATGTGCGTTAGGGATATACAAAAGAAAAAAGTATAATAATTAAAAGATAATTACAACAACTTTCACAATGTTATACCTAAGAATAGTGTACCTAGTGCTCAACATAAATTATTGTACTAAATATAATCAGCTATAAAATATAAACCAATTATAAAATATTTTTGTGAGCTTAAAATATACATTAGGGATATTCTCGAAGTCTCACGTTGCACGGATTGCACGAAATTGCAAAAATACTATTCCAACTTTTCAAGAGCACGCCAGCACCCAATTGCAAGGTTGCAGCATGCATAGGTAGCAAGCAGCAAAAGTCTATTGGCCTTATTCATAAAAAATAAAGTAGCTTTATAAATGGTTTATAAATTGAAAAATGTACGAAAACGTCAATTTATAAAGCTCTTTAAACCTACTTTATTTTTTATGAATAAGGCCATATGTCAGATACAATAACAAGATACAGCAAAAAATAATTTAAGCAAGTTGAATCGGAGAAATATCTGTCAGTTCCTACATTAAAACAGCTAGCACAGGATCGCATTTATCTTGCTACGCTGTCCTGCAAAATGTCTGCATGGGCTTAGACCATGATTCAATAATACAATTTGTTTGTGCAATATGTTTATTTGTATATGCATATGAAGCATATTTAACTGATGAAAACATAAACTGTTTTTAAATTGGATGTTTACATCAATCTAACAGTAGTCTTATTTTAATTTTGAGTCATTTTGCAGTTTTTATACAGCATTACAAATTACGTATTTCACATAGATACATCAATTTTACGTTCAACATTTCGTTTAAAATGCCAGATTTCCTGCAAATACATTAGCATTTACAAAAGGAATTCCACTACTAATTGCCTACTTTGGATACTTTTCTACTACCGAGATTTCATTCATCCCGTTTTCTCCGTCCTTCGTAAATTCAACCTTTTGTAAGGGAGTGTCAAACCGCAGCGGTCAATAATTATCTAACCTTGTATTATTGAATCATGATAGCACATCTTGTTTCCCATGTATTTTGTTGTTGTGTGTTTGCAAGCTATGCAATCTATTCAATTTGCAATGGCTTTGCAAGATTTCAAGAATACCCATATTGTTCAAGGTGATATAAGCAAGGCATATTTAATAAGGTAGAAGTGACAACTAATCGGAACTCTGTCAAAGCGAATCTGTCACGTAAAGCGCAGCAAAAGTTTTATGTGGCATCAGCTTTTTTGGTCAAAACATAGAGGAGCGACGAGCAAAGAGCATCGAGCAAAGCGTCGATTTCAAACGCATATGTTTCAATGGGAGAACGCATAGTTCAGAGCAAAGCGTACATACATACATGTTTGTAATTGGATGGAGCTTTGCTCGATGCTAGCTCTTCGCTTTGCTCGCCGCTCCACTATGTTTTTACCCTGCGCATCAACAGATCATCTCACTTCGTCACTTCTCAACTTTCGTGCTCTTCAGGCCTTACAGGCACAGGAACCTCCCAGGGCATGGGAACTGCACCTAGGTATAAACGCATGCGCTTAAAAACATTTTCCTGCAATGGGGAAGTAATAAAATCATTCGCGTTGAAATGACTTTTCACAGACACGGGAAGAATCTTGCAATTGAACACCGCAGCGGTTATCCCAAGGAAGATTTCTAACTTCGCAACTAGATGCCCTAAGGTATCACACCACTTTAACGTCTTGGCTCTTGCCACACATAGCGCAACGCTCGTAGTTCCTTCTACTTTTCATTTTTGTATATGTATCTATAAATGGATGTGGTCGAAAAAAGAACTACAAAAATATCATAGCACGTAATTGATTTTTTAATGAAAAGAGAGAAATTTCAAAATCACTTCTACCTTATTTAAGGTGCAATCCCGTATTCCTCGGACTAAAACTAGTAAACCTGTCAAAAAATAAAAATTCGCTCAGAGCGAGAGAGTAACATTGAAAAGTACGGGATCGATTTCTAGTAAAAAATGGTAACTTCTGTAAGGCGTAACCCTCTCCCCCCCTTGGGCTCCTCCCATAGGCCCCTAGGGAACCGTTTGGAAAAGGGGGAAAAACGGAATTTTCTTTGGAAAACTGAGCAGTTTGAAGTGGAATATGACCCAACTAACAGAAACCGTGGGATTTTTTAATAAAATAAATTATGCCAAATTAGATATCTTGCAATTTTGAATAAAGAATAAAAAAGTTAATTAAAAATAGAAAAAAACAAGTTTTTATAAAATAAATGTTATTTTTAACAAATGTGGTTTTGTGTAGAATTCCTTTCTGTGTAGGCGGCCTTCGGCCGCACTTAGGGACTATAACCCTCAGGCAGTAGAATTCTCCTTTCTATGTTGCCAAAAACGGGGGCTGAACACCTTTTGCAGAGAACACCTTTCTGCGTAGGCGGCCTTCGGCTGAACTTAGGGATTATAACCCTCAGGCAGTTGAATTCTCCTTTCGGTTTTGCGAAGAAAAGGAGCTGACCACCTTTTGCAGAGAACACCTTTGTATATTTTTAATGCTTACTGGGTTATATCCTATCTTATTTTGTCTCTCATTCTATTGCATATTTTGGAGTTTGACAGCTGAACTCCGCCATTTAATTCGCATATGCAACCAAAGTCAGACGCGTGATTTTGAAGGTGTTTTTATTTAATGAATTGTGATTCTCTTCTTCTTCTTCTTATTTGGCGCTGTAACCGCCTAAGCGATTTTGGCCGAGTCCAAAACAGCACGCCAGTCATTTCTCTTCTGTGCTAACTGACGCCAATTGAAAAAGCCCAGTGAAGCCAAGTCCTTCTCCACCTGGTCTTTCCAACGCAGAGGAGGCCTTCCTCTTCCTCTGCTACCAGCATCGCGGCCCGCGTTGAATATTTTCAGAGCAGGAGCGTTTCTGTCCATCCGAACGACATGGCCAAGCCAGCGGAGCCGCTGAATTTTAATTCGCCGCACTATGTCTATATCGTTGTAAAGCTCATACAGCTCATCGTTAAACCGTCTGCGATATTCGCCATTACTAACGCGAATTGTAATTAATTGGTTTATATTGAAGTCGTAAAGCAAGCTATAACTAATCGAGTAAATTGTAAAGTGAGGGGGAATACAAAAATGTATTGGTGAAGTGATTGCTTTAAGGATAATAGGAGTGATAAATGTACGCTAATTTCCGAATTTTACAAAAAAAGGGCATATTTCAAACCCTATTTGTAAATAAATTAGTGACCAAAATTTACAAAAGTGAGTGTTAAAATAATGCGTAGACCCTTGAATACAAGTGTGTGGAATTTTTTTTTGATCGGGCCACCCCTTTGGTCGGAATAGCCCGAAATAGTTGTGAGCGCTACTAAACCCCACCCGAAAATCTTATTAACTTAGCTTAAAAGAAAAATTCATACATGTTCGTAAAAATCTATTTGCAATCAGCAAATCGATTTCACGCAAATATCATATTTTCGGCAAGCAAGCAAATGTACAAAACCCCTCTCCTTTCCCCGTTTCCCGGTTCTTTCTCTACACTTGTTGTTCTGACTTCCATTTTTATTTTAGAGTTTGTTTTGATCCGACACAAGCACGCGCGTGCCTCCGCAAGCACCCCCTCTGCCTAGTACTTATTTGATTTCTGTTTCTCTTTTATTCGTTTTTATTTTTAATTTTGCTATAAACTATGGTACACGCAAAATGTTCCTCATTCATATACGTTCTCTGTTGTTAGTGCATGTGGCACATGCAAACAAAACGAAATAGAAAACATGTTGTCTATGTGTGCGTGTCAATCCACCGTCAATCCGCAATTTTCGCGGACTGAACTGAGGGAGGTAAACTCGAACCCTCTACCCCGTCTTTTCCACACAAAACCGGTTTTAGGGGACTGAGCAGTCCAGTGTGCGGAGGCCCATATGGTACCATTACCAAAATTAATTGGTATGAAACAAAAAGTATCGAGTATGTACTTGTATTTACTCTTATCGTTTCATACCTACTTGTATCGGAACAACACTGCTCATCTCTAGTGTAGGAGAAAAAGGGTACTTTTGTATTGTAGACCAAAAAGACCTTTGTTTTTTCTGAAAAGGCGAATGTAGAAGGTGTAGATTAGACACAAAGGATAATCCAAAGTGCGCTCACGTTCAGCCAAACAATATCTATAAAAATCCACAAAAGGAGTAGAAATAACTTGCAATGAATAAACGTAACAATGTAAGTTTGTTGACTATATAGTATTAGTATGCAATTCCCATAATTCGTTTAATTATATATATTTTTTTATATTTGGTAGATTCGCTTACCACCTGAGGTAAATCGGCTGCTGTACGTCAGAAATTTGCCATATAAAATTACCTCGGACGAAATGTATGATATATTTGGGAAGTTTGGGGCAATAAGACAAATTCGTGTGTAAGTATATATTTTATAAAAGCGTGCAGATACGTTAATGTTTCCTTCTATTGAAGTGGGAATACACCGGAGACACGTGGAACTGCCTTTGTTGTCTACGAGGACATATTCGACGCCAAGAATGCTTGTGATCATTTGTCTGGCTTTAACGTTTGTAATCGTTATCTGGTTGTGTTATACTACCAGTCAAATAAAGCATTTAAACGCCTGGACGTCGATAAGAAGCAAGAAGAACTTAATAATATAAAGTCGAAATATAATTTGAAAACTCCAGAGGCACCCTAGGCGGTAAAGAAAGGAAACGACATCTCAGAATAAAAATGATTGCCACAAAGAACATTAATCTTTATTGTATGCATGGTATTGTATTTCTGCACTTTCGACTTCTATCAAATATGAAACATATGTGCTTTTATTAAATTCTCCTGATATTTGTATTTTGGACTGCCTATCGTAAACAGTTTAATTTTATTTACTAGTTTTTCCGTTGATTAGAGACCTTGTGAGTTGATGTACGACTAAAGGATTTCATTGTTTGTTAATGCGCATATTTCTGTATTAATTAATTTTTTTAATCTTAACCCATAATCATTCACTCCCCTATTCTAACAAAGTCACAAAACTAGGCACATCACTTGTGATTTCTACCACGCTTCTAAGTATGCTGCTACGACAAATATGCAGCTAAAAAAGTTCAATATGTGTGCGTTTTCTTGGCACTTAAAATCAACCTTTTGTGTCATATTTTCAGGCGCAGTAGAAATCATAGTGATGCGCTGAGTTTTGTGGCTGTTAGAATAGGGGGGTAAAGCTAATTCTAATCATCATCATCATTCCATTAAAATAACAAGCAAATAAATGTAAAATACAAAAAAAGATGGACTTAAGTATTCAACATTTGCCAGGGCATGTATCTGTTTTTGCAAATACTAATTAAATCGATTACAACAGTTTAAGCGTAATACTGTTTGGAAATAAAACAAGCTTAATAGCCCGGATACAATGAAAACGACGAGCTGCGGTCCACAGCTGTCAAATTAAAAAAAAAAACTACAACAAACTATACGCAAATTGACAATCAGTACCTAGTTGTTGTTGTAGCGGCTACAACAACCCCGCCCAGATCGGTTAATATCTCAGTCGAGCCACACTCGGGACGGTTCATCCGTCAACGTTGATTCCCTGTGAATGCAGCTCAGCGCCTGTCGGTAGGCTGACAGGTCCAGAGGTTGTTTAATGAACCTCTGGACTTCGTCCGTCAGTTCGTACAGATGTCTCCTGACGTGCCTCGGCGAGGTCTCTTCTGCAAGCAGCTGCCTGCTGTGATGGCCACGTCTGTGGCTCCCTGCTTGCAAAGCATTCTGTTATGCTCCTTGACTGGGAGCATCTGGGCCTCGTCGTGTAGGTGGTGTTGGGGCGTCATCAGGAGGCATCCGGTCGCTGTTCGTAGTGCCGTGTTTTGGCAGGTCTGTAGCTCCATCCGCTGCGTCCTGCTAGTCCCAGGCGACCACACGGGCGCTGCATAGTTTAGAACCGGCTGGCCAATTGCCTTGTATGTTGCCAACAATGTTTCTTTATCTTTGTCACAAGAGCTGTCGGCCAGCGACTTGAGGACATTGTAGCGGCTTTGTACTTTATTGGCAATTACGGTTGTATGCGCCGAGAAGGAGAACAGACTGTCGAAGGTAACTCCGAGGATTTTCGGGTTATTCACCGTCGGTATTGTTACGCCATCAACGTGAATACCCAGCTGCAGTCTAACCTCCTTCGTTCAGGTAGTGAATAGGGTTGCCGACGATTTCGCAGGGGTAGGGCAAGGCTCCTTGCAGTGAATAAGCGAGAAAGTTCGGCGAGATAACCGTTTACTTTCGAGCACAAGTCATCAATTCCATTACCCAGACGCCATGATCGAACAATCGTCAGCATAAGAGACAATATTGACACCCTCTGGTGGTTGAGGAAGCTTAGAGATATAATAAGTAAACAGTAGTGGGGACAGGACACCACCCTGTGATTCCCCCCTGTTTAATTTTACGTGGCTGTGGGAGAGAGGAGGCCTCTATCTCTTTTAGCGGCGTTGAATGACTGACAGTGTAGAACGCCTTGAACAGGTCCAACGCTACTAGAAAAGTTCTCTCACAGGGGCGGTTTCGATTTGGGCAGTGGGACCTCTCTCCCCATTTTTCAGATGTCTGGAATGACGAGAGTGGCCATAGACAGGTTGAGGACCTCCGTTAGGTATGCTACTCCCGCAGGACCCAAATTTTTCAGCATCAACATGCATATTCCGTCGGATTCAATGGCTTTGGAGGCTTTCGACTTCCCGATGGCCACCTGAACTTCACCGCAAGTGAAAGAAAGGGAGGCACAAGCTGTTGGCATTTTGTGCAGCCTTCCATTTTGCACTGGCAAAATTTTAGTCAGCAAAAATTATCCAACACGAAAACATATGATCACAAAACATATGGTTGTTATTTCTGTAAACAAAAAAAATTGAATTTTCCGAGTTTTGGTATTTATATGCTATTTGGTGGCCTGCTATGAGACTTTATGATAGCGCCAACTAGTTTTTACTCCTAGAAATGTTCCTGGCGAACATTGAACGTTCATTTTCCTTTTTTCTTCTATGGAGGTAACATGAATTTCAGTTTGTTTACAAATAAAACATAAACAAAGTCAGCTGGTGTGTCTTCTTCTTCCGGTTTTTGCAAGTAATAGGTTTGTTCGTCGAGCAAAAAATTTGTACGAATTTGTACGAATTATCACGATTTTTGCCCAAATCGCGTTCGTGCAGACCAAAAAACTATCCAACACTCAAAAATTGTGAGAGCAATGTGACAGTTCTCTTGGAGAGAAGTTGCAAATTCTTGCTGGAAAAAATTTTCAATGTGGCATCCACAAATGCTGAGCTAGTACGGGCCACCACATTGATAGCAAAAATTGCAGAAGGGCGGATAAACAGGTACGTGTTCGTTACAATCTGCCTATATTTTGTTACACCCGATTTACATGATTCAAGTACTTGAAAGCAATTCTTGCTCTTGCTCTTGCAAGAAAGTTGTGTTTTATATTTGCTTTTACACGTTTCACTTCTGTTGAAAATGCCAAAACCAAAGCAAGAAAGTTGAAACGACTTGACGGTACAGACGCATGTGTACTCGTCCCTTTTGTTCTCACCCCCTCTCTTCCACATGCGAGCAGAATTAAATTCAATACTTGAACTGTGTAAAATCAGTCTTAGTGAAATTTTTTACTTATATACAGAGGTGGACACTACCACGATTGAGAGAATACAAAGGTTGCGCCGATCTCGGACCGCTATTCTTCTCTTAACGAATTTGACAGAATCGTTGTTTGCATGACGTCACACTGGTGCAACATGTTTACGTTTTCCTTGCAACATTTTTTTCTTCTTCTTCCATTCTTGCTCACGTTTTGGCATTTCTCTCTCGCAATTGCACCAGTGTGACGTCACACAAAAGTTATTCTCAAAAATCCTCTCTGATCGGCGCAATCTTGTATTCTATCATTCTTGGACACTACCACATACAAGCGTTCGCTAGAAGTGAGAATGTGTTAGTGTGCCTAATTCATTTTGCATGCTGCCGCGATCTCATCGTTACGCTCTTGCTTGTATACGTACACGCGATGTTTGCGCTCTTTGTTAAATACACCTTGCCACCTTGCATAGATCCGCCTTGCACGTACTCTTCCCTGCAAAACGCGAATGACCGAAATTAGAACACATTCACACAAATTTTCGATTGTCACTAATACATAAATAGTACATGTACCCTGTAGGGAAACCCCGAACTGGTGAACCAAATTTGTAGTTCTGTACTACATCTTTATCGCCAAAAACGAACCAGTCCGATAGTAACTAGATCGCCACCAGTCCAAAAGCGGCGATATGTGATACTTTTAAAAAACAATTTTAGAAATCTATATCTAAAATGACGTATTTAGAACTGGTTCAAAACTATATAAAAAGGGATGCAGAACGAACTAGATCTCATCTGGCGAATTTTTAACTAGTTCGAGACTACTGAAAAAGGGATGCAGCGGGGGGCTTGTTTACTTTAAATAGATTTTTGCTTGGCGGGTTTTTCGTTCAAATACGCTTTCAGTCTGCACGTCGCAGAGGCTTTTTCATAGTTTAGTAATACAAAACTAATATTTGTGTTAACATCTTAATATTATGGGACCTTCTGGAATATAACCAATAACAGTCAGCACCTCTGCAAATTCAGCTACAGCCAAAGGTATGTAAATGTGTTTCCAATGCAAAATTAAATTTACATTCATTCAAACAAATTTGATTTCAGATTGAAAATTATTTCTCTGCAAAAGATTGAAAATTGCTACCATAGTAACCCAAAAATAAAACATCTTGTTACTTTTTTCCTTTACAACTGGTTCGAAACTATAGAAAATGGGGTGCAAAGCGAACTAGATCCCATATGTCGAATTTAGGACTGATTCTGAACTATGCAAAAGGTAATGCAGCGGGGGACAATTTCCAATTCCTATGACATCGCTGTGTTAAATTCGCCAGTTGTTTGCATGCAAAAGAGATTTATCGCGAACTAGTAGTGGTTCTAAATGTACTAGAAGCGCCCCAGTTCAAAACTAGAGATTTTCCACAGGGTAAGAATTCGCTACGAAAAAGTCTTAGAATGAAACAACATCTTAAAATTTTTCAACTGTTTTAATATATCTTATTCACTCGCACACGTTGCATGCATAGGGATGGTGAAATTATGCGAAAAGAAAAATGAACAAAACACGCAAAATCGTCTCAAAACTTTTCTGGTGTTGCCAGACATTTCTTCTTTGCGTGCTTTTTTATATGTCGCCTTTCGATTTTGTTTCTGAAAAATTGTAATTATTTAACTTAATTACCAATTCCTAATATTTTTTATTTCTTTTCCTTGATTTATTTCTTTTCATCAGAAATTGCGCTCAAATTAAATGCAAATATAGAAAACGTGCCCAATAAATAAAAAAAATGCGATAAGTATTGCCATAATGCAACCCTGCTGCGAGGTTGCAAAATGTAGACGCGTAAAAAACATATGGGGTGTTCACAGTTCGTTCCAAATTGTGTCTGAAAATGTAGACGTCTACATTTTGAGACACTTTTAGCATCAAACTGTGAGCACCCCTTTCTAGCAGTCGTCGCAAAATCGTCACAAAACTTTGCTGGTGTTGCCAGACATTTCTTGTTTGCGTGCATTGTTTATATGTCGCCTTTCGATTTTGTTTCTGAAAAATTGTAATTATTTAACTTAATTACCAATTCGTAATATTTGTTATTCCTTTTCCTTGATTTGTTTCTTTTCATCAAAAATTGCGCTCAAATTAAATGCAAATACGGAAAACGTGCCCAATAAATAAAAAAAATGTGATTAGTATTGCCATAATGCAACCCTGCTGCGAGGTTGCAAAATGTAGACGC